CTTAAATGATCATTTTCAGATTCAAAGTATAAATATAATTCATCATTTTTGTTGCCAAGTCTGTGCACTCAAACCTATTAAAGCGGCGCAAATCTTTTTCAATAAGTCATGAAGGCGTTCAGCAATGTGGAGAATGCACCGCCTTTCAGAAATGAAGAAAGGTGGCTGCTGCCTTTAATTTGACAGCATTTCTACGCGACCGCCTGGAATGCAGAAGCAGCCATTCACCATGTAACATAACACATACAACTGGAATTTAAGCATTCAAGGAGGAGCGAGGAGGAGATTTAACCGTCAAACACTTACTCAGCATTAATGATTACTGCTGGTATAAGCTGATATCAGATACGGCCTTTTTGGAAGAGTGTGTCAAAGAGAAAGCAAGAGCGTTTTAACTGAATGAATAGAAGTCAAATTAAAATGACGACAAAGCGTAGCAGGGTTTATTTCTTACAAGGAAAAGCACATTTTAATTTAAAGTCAAGACCTACAGATTGCACTTGAATGACTTTTTAAGAGCTTTAACTCCAGGTAATCACATTTAAAACCTTTCAAGGCTTTTAAAGTCTTGAAAAACACTCTGTTTTGCTCCAAATTCAATCTTAAAAAGTAGTTAGATTGCTCTTCCTATGCCACAAAGCCAGCTCCCAGAGAGAGAAATGAGGATTAGAGTGTTTGATCACAGCCCGTCTCGAACTACAAAGAGCAGGCGTTCACAGGGAGGTTGTCCTCTCCGAGGCAACCCGGGAGGAACGCTCCCTGAAAGGACAAACATCAGCGCCTTCATGAGATTGATAATGATGGGAAAAATCCCTTCTCTTTTTAACTTTGAGTGGGAAAACAAAAGCAAAAAACAAACGCAGCAAGAGCAACCTGACATTACCACGAGCCCTGATGCCTGCCTGTATCTGATGCACTCCACTGAAGCATACCCAAACCTCCATCGCCATAAAGATTCAGTTATGGCTCTGTGCTGTTGGCTGTGCCAGAGTAGCAATCACCTCCTGCTGCATGTCCAAACACTGATAAACAGCATCATGGCTGAGTGAGGAAGATAAGGCCACGTTCAGGGCAAAAAAGTAACTAAAATAAAGCGAACAGTTTCAAATATTATGCCAAACATAAATGTTATAAGATCCATACTTGAATTGTAAAACTAAATATAAAGTACCCAACCTGCTGTACATCATACCAGCTTATTACTACACACTTCAACAGCAGCCTCACACACTCACAGACCTGGACTGCACTGAATAAGTACAATATCTGCTACCATGTACAGCTGCTCCATCAGGAGAATGTTGTAGGGGGCTGTGGTTACGTGCAGGGTCAGCAAGGGTTAATGTTGTGAACCAGTGACAGACAGGCCTGTCCTACCAGGATATGAGAGCCTACTCTATCTGATTCTGGTCTGTCTATATGTCAAGGCAAATGGAGGGAGCCAGAGGAGCACAGGATGCTAGGCAGTTTAGCTTTCAAAGTAAAAGCAGAGAGGCGTTAGGAGATCTTAAACACTCACAGGGCCAACGTTTAAAAAAAAAAACTGTTTAAGTAGTTTCGGTATTCTGTTTTTTATCAGAGAACTAAGACAGGATATGATTAAGGATGTCTTTTTGTAAAGCATAAAATCAGTAATTAGAGTCTAATTGTGGCATCAGTACATGGCAAAAGAAATGTCAAGTGTTTTGAGTCACAGCATTACTAATGGATTCAGACTGTGGCTGTAAAGTAATACAATGCTCAACACTGTTATGCCATGCAGCATATGAGCAATGACAACAAGGCTGCGACTAACACTTATTTTAATATTGATCAATTATTTATTCAAATCATTAATTATTAGATCTAGAAAATGTAAGAACACAATCAAAGATGCCCATCACAGTTTCCCACACACCAGACAAGGTGATACCTTAAATTGCTTGTTTTATGTGTGCAACACTTCAGTAGTTAAAGATATTACATTTTCAGTTATAGGTTATAACACACTGATAACTTACTCACTAATTCACATTTAAGATGCCGGAACCAAAGTGCATTTACTTCATCTTAAACGGTTAATCAATTGTCAAAATTGCTGCCGATTAACTTTCTGGAGGTCAATTAATAGATAAGTTAATAATAAATAGATAGTTATTATTGGTAATTAATAGTTCCAGCTCTAGTTAGTCGTTAGACTGGTTTTATTCTGAAATACGTGACCGGAAGCTGCACTGTCTTCATTCCGGCTAGCCTGACGCAGGTCGTCTAAAGTAAGACAGCAAGGAGGGAGAAAAAAAAAACAAAAACAAAAAAACCCACACTGTAAATGTGCTGATGAAGAATTAAAGACCCGGGGGACGACAGTGGGATACGAGCTCGCAGCGCAGACGGCAGTAAATCACACATAAGGCCGCATAAACAGTCCCAGACAATGTGGTTTAACAAGGCTACACCCCTCTCGCCTCCGGGCTAAACTCCCTTTTTGTTTGACAGATTTCCAAAGCTAATCACAGTTGTCTGCATCATTTCAGAAACAACTGCTCAAAAAGGACATTGGGGAGGTGTCATTTTTCAACACAACACACATTTCTACGTTTCAACCCCGAGTGAAGTTACACAGACTGTCAAGGGCGATAATATCTCAGCATTAGGAGAACTACAAGCTATTGCTCTTCGACAGTGTGGGCTAGAAATGATACCTTCAGTGGGAAGATGTTTGGTGGGGGGTATCTCTGGATGTCTTCACCGCTTCTGTCCCGGTTCACAGCGCAGGCGAGCCTCTCGGATAGGCTTCTGTGGTCACGCCAGGGCTGGTTGTTAGCAGGAAAGTCCGCTAAAAATGTGTGCGATACAATTTAAAATGTGTGGAATCTGTTAAGAAGGCAGAGCTGAATTCCATCTGGTCGCTTTCCAGTCGTCTGTCAAGCTGGCATGAAGAAACTTAGAGACGTCCGGTGCGAACTTTCACAATAAAATCCCGGCGGACCCTCATCCGTTCGCACTAATGGAAGAAGAAGGGGACGCGAGGTTGAAATTCAAACTGAAATGGTTACTAGTGCTCGAAACACCGCCTGTATTTATGAGTTCAACCAACAATGGTCCTAGCTGGACACTATGAGGGTGTCACGCAGACTAATTTGCTTTATTGAGCAAGGCACGTCACTTCCGATAGTAGTCCGGCTCCCGTGTGCCAACTTGACACATCTGTATCTTTCCAGCCGCGGCTGAGTCTCGTTCACTTCCTCTCCTTGTAATCCTTGTAACCGCCTTGCCTCAGGTCTTGTCACAATATATGCTATTATTAATGCTATTAAACAGTCAAAAGTAGGGTTTAATTCACCGTACTTAAATTCAACACATTCTGAGAGACACTATTTACTTTTCTCCATCACTGAGAGGGAAAAATAAAGGACAGAAGAGCCTGAAGGTCAGATGGTGTACATATTGGAACAGACCCCAGGCCAAATCATGACAGGCTAAACTGGATAAAGCTCATTGGAGGTTTGATACCACGTGGTTAAAATTACACTTCCGGATGAAAAAACAGAATTAATGGCACAAGGAATTTATCCATTTGGGTTTATGTTAAACGCAAATTATTAAACTAGTAAAAATGGACAAACTAATACAAAATATTATTATAAAAATATTAATATAATTTAATTAATATAATATAATAAAAATATTCTGGTTAAAGGGGTTCTAAAAACACAAATGGGATTATATAGGTTTGGTTTTCTTTCCCAAAAAAATTATAACTTCCACGTTAAAATCCTTAAAAACACATCTACCCTTTCTACCGCATTAAAAATTGCAGAATCTATGAATATGCTAATTTTATTTACTTTTTTCCTTCTTCACTGTCAAGTCCATTCTCAGTTTAGGTGCACTGATGGCTTTAAGTTTCTACATCACACTTGTTTAACTTGCAACTGGACCAAGACTTCTGAAGTATTTGTGATGTCACAAATCATGCACGTAGGCCCCGCCCCTTACAAATAAGATTTTCAATGAGTACAGAGAAACTTCCCACTTTCAGCAGATAAATGTAAAAAACATCCTTCAATCCCCAACAAAAAGACAAAACCCCATAGAGGAAACCATCTCAGACTTTATTAAAGCTGCTTTTCATTTTACATACAATTCAGAATTACATATTTACAAATATACACAGATATGTCTTATTATAATATCTTCATATCGACACCATACTCAGTAAATACATTATAGGAAAATAAAGACAGTGGTTGCTGCAATGTGCTGCATAAAAAGAAACTACAAAATATAACCCTTCTCATCTCACCAGCCTCCAAGTCAAGAGTACAAATAATTCAATAAGCTTTATTGTGTGATCGTGATAAAACACTGACAAGTTTAGTGCCCATGTCAGCTTTCATAAGAGGGCAGAAAATAAGCTCTCACACAATACAACAGTGCTTGGTAAAAAATACTCGCCTTGTTCAGGGCTTTTTTTTTTTTTTTTTACACAAGAGCTTTAAAATTGGGGCTATGAAGAACATGCCACAAAGAGTGATGATATACAGAGAGACAAGGGGACTCACAAAAAACACGATCCTCTTCACAAGATACATGCTCTTGAAGGAAAACGATGTGAGGTATAGAGGACACGTCTGTACAAGTGTAACATACATCCTTACAGAACTTACACAAAATGCCAGCCACAGTTCACTCTCTGGTTCAGCTCACAGTTTGACACCGAAAAGGCCTGTAAATGTCCTTTTTCTGGAAACTTTCCTTTCACAGGGAGGACACGCTTCTTGTGATTGAGTAAAAAAAAAAAAAGTGAGGGCCGAATCGAACGAAAGCACAGTGGACAAATACAACCCGTTCTGAGTAATAAACTGGTGGGGCTGGTTTTAAATGTAACAGCATGCTGCACTTTTCCTGTTCAATAACAGAGTCACACATTCAACACTGACGACGGGAACAGGAAGAGATTGTTTTACAGTGCGCCTTGTGGATACAGTAGAAATCTAGTAGAAAAACATGTTCACCCTTGGAAAACAAGGTGTCATTCAGTGTTCAGAATAGCACAGTGTCCTTGTGTGTGTGTGTGTGTGAAGAAGGGTGTCACAGCAGCTGGTTGTCAGAGGTGTGCCATCAAACTGTATCAACATCCTCATTTCCACTCCGGGAGCCAAACCAGCTCACTCACCACCCCTGCTGTGCAATTAACACCAAAAATCAGACTGTCTTTTTTTTTTTTTTTTTTACTTAGCTACATCATGGTGTCAAGTAAACAAGTATTGCTCTCAGGGCTGGTGGCACAAAACATGTTGAGAAGGTCCCGGTTAGTCCTGCTTGTGGAGAAGTGGCTACTGTCACATGCCTGAGTGGGGCTGGGAGCACAGGGAGGGGGACAAAGCCTGCATTTGTTGCTGCAATGTAGGCCAAAGATAGGTGAGCACAGTGACTGTGAACCAAAAGTGAATTTATATGCAGAGTGTTGAGATTTATGTGCGCCTGCTCCTCTTTGTCTGACAAGGAGTTCTTAAAATGAGGGTTATGGGACCCTCAGAGGCCACAGAGGGGCTCCTGGGCTAAATGTTAGTTCTTTATAAAGGACTACACATGAATTCAGCAGGTAAATGAATGACTGCCTCTATCTCCCCACTGTTATCTCCACACACGCCTCTCCGGGGGTTTGTGACATACGTGTGTTGGGTTTGCTCCGAAGCCCGCACACACACACACACAAGAATGCACACACACAAAGACATGTAGTCGACACACAAGCAGGTATGCGGTCACACCTGCCTGCCCGTGCAACTTCTTGGGCTTCCTGAGAGGTAAATCCAGAGCAGTTCAGAGGCGAGTTAGACAATCAACTCTTTGAAAAAAAAAAAAAAGAGGTTCAGAAGTTGTTTCCAAGCTGCCGCTCTCTGCGTAAGTGATTTGTACGTGTAGTTGGAGAAGTGCAAGACGTCTGACCACCAGGTAGTGCTGTTGGTGACATTCACCTAGTGATACAGTTGACTGAATTTGTAGGTAATACCATAAAACCAGGGTTACGGGGAACTCATATTAACAAAATAGAAGATTTCAGCATTCTTGAATTGGGGAAATGAAAAGCCAACTACCTCGACTACAGGGATTTAATACGTCCCCCCTGTATGTGTCCCATGTACAAAAAGGTCATAAGACTTACAGTGTCATGCCCTGAACATTTGACCTGCTCAATGATGCTCCAAGATGCACTGAAAGCATGTTTTCTTGTTGCAGCCAGCTGCCATTTTCACAGTGTACGATTAATATCTGACACGTAAGCCGATGTATCATGTGAAATACCAGTCTCGTATCTGTACCTGTGGATGTTGTCAACTCGAAAGGGTTTCGGCAAGGTTGATTCTGACAGTTCTGTAAGCTGCAGATGGTTCACGTTTAGTGCAGATATTGTTTAAATTTGTCCACTTTAATGCTACATAATCAGAGGGGTCAAATACAGCACTAAGTAATTAGATTGAAGACATTTAGCTTTTCTCTGTAGTTGACAGAGATTGTGATTTTTAAAGGAGGCCTGACAGGAGGTGATATATCACTGGAATGAACAGTGAAAATACATACAATTCAAATGGCTGATCATTTTGAAGGTAGAAATAACTTTAAATTATTAGTATAATACTGCTGAGTGGCAATAAGATATTTTTCATTATAAATTGACCTTTTATAAGTCCTACCCCCTTTTGCTCAGTGCTCCAATAACAGTTGAGCAAACTTTGTCCTTTCCTGTACTGGGAGCTGGGAATAACATCACACCGAAGTTAACCACGTTCCAGTACAAGAAGTCGGAAAACCAAGCTTTAGCCAGGTTTTGTTAGCAATACCAGTTGATAACAATATATTACACTGTTTGCTCATACAAACAGACAGCAGACAGACGTTGGACAGTACACTGTGTACGACGTAAAGAGAGACAAAAGGCAGAAGTGCTAATAAACAGAATATTACTACAACTTTCACTTAGTTGACGTATAGAGCAGCCATCTTGGATTTTAAGGTCGGGGGTTGATGAGGTTCTTCTGACTTTCTGAGTTGAAAAATCCGACTTCAGGGGCTATGTGCTATGCTCTTCTATGTTGAAAAGCTAACTAAATTTGGAGATGGTTAAAAAGTAAAAGTTTTGTCAGCACAGAAGAGCCTAGCACATAGCATATCAAAGGAAAGGAGAAAGTTCTGAACCGAGGCTAGCTCAACTGTTATTGGAGCACCAGAGCAAAAAGGGCAGTGGGACTGTAAATGTACATAATGATGAATACCGTGGTTCTGTAGCAAACGACTCAGCTAAAACACTGGTAGGTATTCGCAGATACAATGATAGCTTTGGTTTCTGGTTGAATCCGATAAGCTGCGAGGTCCGTAAGATGAAAAAAACCACGTTGAGACTGTCCTCCTGTCAGGGTCAGCTTAAGGTTTTTGTAATTCCACCTGGAAATTGTTTTAGGTTGAGGGATGGAGCCGGGGACAGTGACGGCAGGTCAGGGTTTGATGTCAGAGAAGCTGGTGTAGGTCTCACTGCAGCTGGAAGAAGTGCTGAGGTTCCCAGAGACGCTGCCATCTGCAGGACAAACAAACAACAACAGTGTTGGCAGCTGTGTTTACACAGAGTGGGAATCCTTATGAAAACAGTTCTATCCGAATAAACTGGCTATTCAAAATAATATTGTGTATCTTTGACCAGGTGATATTACAAGTTTTGGAGCAATAATCCAAAGGCTCAGCGTCCCTTTAAAATAACTTAAGTAGTAGTTTATTCCGACAGTAATGTTGCTTCAATACAAAGTAAAGCAGCTACAGTGGCAAATGCTTATGTTTACATCTGGTCAATTTATTTCACATTCATATAAAACCATTTCTGGGAGCTGTAGATTAGATTGATTGACACTGCATATATGGAAGGAATACCTGAGCTGCTGAGCGACTGGGATGACTTGGACTCTGAGATGAGGCTGAGGAGGTTTGCTGCTGCCACCCAGCCCTCCTTACTGCTGCGAAGGTTCTTCACAAACCTACAGAGGGTAAACAAACACACTCACAATGTAAATATCTATTATATTGCTTCCTTGCTTGGTGTAATTACACATATTTTTTGGGTTTGGGATTACATATTCTCTAAAATTTAAAGATGGCCTAATGAAAGTTGAGTGGCCCTGACTTCACATTAAAGGACTTTTCAGTGACTTTTGAGAATAAGTCAGGCTGCTTTTATAATCTATACAGTCTTGTTTACACACTGTGGGCTGAAAACCACCAGCTACTGTAGTAACTGTATGAATTAAGGTGGAAAATACATCCTAGTGTAATTGGATACCTACAGAGAATTCATTGATCACACTGGATGGATTTCACAACTCTTAATTCAATTATATTCCACCACTAACACAACAAAATAGAGCCCAGAAAGAGCATTCCTGCAGATATACAATGTATTTTGAAACTGTTGGGACTTCAAACTAATATAAATAATTGTGTCTGCAGGAAATTGAATTTGGATTCTTCTGACTGTAGTAAGGAAGATGTTTACCACTGTCCCTCCTCTCCCTCTTTAATTAGCTGGACCATGTCTCCACTCTTGACAGACAGCTCCTGAGGTCCCGCCTTCTCGCAGTCCGCTACCACCGTATACTTTCCTGGAGCCTGAAGGGTCAAAGGTCAGCCAAAGACAGCCAGTGAGAGATTAAAGGAGTCAGGCGATTATATATCAGAAACAGACACTGATGTGAAACTAAAATACTGTAAAGTTCCTCAGGTTCAGGCTCACCAGCTTCTTTCCCACTTCGTCCTCAGGGTCAGAGTTCATGGGGTCTTCGCCGCTGGAGTACACATCATTCTCTTCTGAGGCATCCACTGAGAGAGACGCCTTGTTCCAGCCTGGAGTCGGAGGTGCAGAGAGGAGGGAACAGACACAGGTAAGGAGATTTAGAGGCAAAAGTGGAATATTGAGAAGTTGGGAAAAGTGAAATGTAGGGGTTGAATCACACACTCACACTCCATGTGGCATTAAAATGCTCCCTGGGTCAAATAATTTAGGGCAAAATGTGTAGAATTCATCCACAAAACTAGCTTTTCTGTCAATATTAAAGCACGGACAGAGCACACAAAAGGGCAACATGAATTTTCCCAGGAGCAAACTGAATGCCACTTGGAAAGAGAGTCACACATACGGTAAATCTCCCACAAGGAGCACAAAACCACAAGATCTTTACTGTCATAACATGTAAGCAAATCAGTATGTTTACACACACACTCAAACACACAAAGATCAAATCAAACTCCTCCAAAATCCCAGAGAAGATCAGTGGAGACAGCAAACAGATCCCAGTGAAACAAACCAAAATAAATCAAGGATTTATTCATGATCAGAGAACACAGACATTTGAATCACCTGCATTCATTTCAAGGCTGCTCTGACTGCCAGGGCGGAAAAATAAGTAATTGAAATTGTGCACTAACTCTCATTATTCTCCACACAATCATTAACCTAAAACACCCCCAGAGTAGAAGAAGAGAGTGACTGATTTGGGGTAGAATAGGTAACTTGTGAAAGACACTGTCATTTAGCCCAGAATTGAGACTTCATATTTAGAAGTTAAACTGAAAATAAGTAGAGTTTTTTAAGTAATTGCCAATTTGAAACTCATCTCACGCTAAGACAATAAGACTCAATACAAGGCTAAATGAAAGGAAAGTGGATATCCTTGCTACACTTTACCTAAAATCAATCATGACCACTACAAACCACAGCAAACACCCACAGTGGCTGATCCTCACAGCGGCTCTGTACCTCGCCGCTTGCTCTGTAACAGACTAGAGGCGCTCATCCATTTGACTCTGCTCAGACTGACATGGGGAGCTGGCTCTAGATGGAGGAGGAGGAGAAACAGCCAGCGAATCAGTGAGACGGCTGACCTAGTCCTGCAGCCAGACAGCTTCTGGAGCAGGGTAGCCAGTCGGTCAGCAACGGGAAGAAGATGGGCCTCATGCATGAATGTTCTCCTATGTTTCTCTTATATTTGTTATTGCACAAAGCAATAAGAGGAAAATAAAAAAGTCCTATGTGGGATTCATGAAATGTCTCGCTGACAGCCAACATCTGAGTTTGTTGGTGAATTGTTTTTAGTCCTAAATTGGAGGCACGTGCCAGGAAATGTGCAATTGGCCCCAATAAATCCATATAAGGGCAGTGGACTTAAGCACGAAATATACTTTCAGTAAGTATACAAAGGTCCAAGTGAAATACATTTCGTCATCAGAAAGTGTATACATAGGTTCAGGACCATGAGGACTGAGGTATGATGATTCAATGAATAAAGTAAATAGCTTTTTTCATCATCATTATTAATATTTCACAGCCCAAAACGCAACTTTGCTTTTGTTTATATTGGCTTACGTGTAGTCCAGGGCGCCAAACGGGAAGTACGCTATAATTGAATGAATTCCACAAATGACACGTGAAGTTCCCGAATTGTTTGCACGCGATGATCAAATCTGTGCGTACGAACAAGTCATGGGTGAGGCCCTTTGGG